CTGGACCGCTCTTTCCGTGAGGAAAATTTTTCCTAATATCCAATCTAAACCTCCCCTGACACAGCTTGAGCCCATTTCCTCTCATCCTATCACTTGTTCCTTGGGAGAAGAGACCAACACCCCCCTCCCTGCCCCCTCCTGTCAGGAGCTGCAGAGCGATCAGGTCTCCCCTCAGCCTCCTCTTCTCCAGGCTGAACACCCCCAGCTCCCCCAGCTGCTCCCCATCAGCCCTGTGCTCCAGAACCTTCCCCAGCTTCATTGCCCTTCTCTGGACACGCTCCAGCACCCCAATGTCCTTCTTGTAGTGAGGGGCCCAAAACTGGACACAGCATTCCAGGTGCGGCCTCCCCAGTGCTGAGTACAGGGGAACAATCCCTGCCCTGCTCCGGCTGGCCCCGCTATTCCTGATACAAGCCAGGATGCTACCGGCCTTCTTGGCCACCTGGGCACACTGCCTCGTGCAGTGGCCTGTGCAAGCCCTATGGCCTCGTGCCCAGAGGCATGGTAGGAGATGCTGCAGAGAGTGACTCCTCCACTTGGGAGCTGCTCTGCCTTGCCCACCTTGAAGGGCTCTGAATGGGACATCATGGAGGAGGAAGGTTTCTCCCTGCCTCCCCGTCCAACAGCCATTTTCTGCCGTGGCTCCAGTGTTTTCTTCGGTGAAGACAACCTGGTTACCTCCAAATCACTGAATAGCCCAGGCCAGGGTCTGGGGCCAGTGGCCTGGCCCAGCTTTTGTCCATACCCGCTTGCTGGAACTGCCCTGGCCCATCTGTCCCCAGGTATTTGGCGAAGACCAAGCTGGCACCAGCCAACACCATGCTGGGGAGCACACCCGCAACAAGAGTCTGGATACCCCTGAACAATGCTCAAGGCTGTGGCCAGGCCCTGGTTTACTTTGATTATCATTAATTGTCATTAATTATCATTAATTGCATCCTGGATGGCAAGGAGGGTATGTAACATGAGATGGAAAATGCAAGGGGGAGGACAAGGCAAGAGAGCGCTGTTTCAAAGACAAGGGTGATGTCTGGCCATGGCAGGGACAAGAAGAGGCAATCAGTTTGGGGCAAAGCCTGGAAGATTTAGGACAGGTATTGCAGGAAGCTTTCCAGCTACCAGGAGATTTAAATCCCAGAAGAGGCTATCACGGAGGCTCTTAGACACTCTATGAACCTTCTAGAGCAGCATCCTCATGAGATGGTCTAGAGAAATCAGTCCAGGGTGGCAACTGAATGGTGTGGAGAAACCCGTCCTGAGCTGCATTCAGTGACTGCTGACGTCTCTCTCACACCACGAGAATGGCCTCGATGCCTCTTTAGGATGTATCTCAACAGCTTCATATACCAGCCACCAACAAGATGCCATCCTATGTCTTCATGACCTGCTCTAGATCCAGTGAGAGACCATGAACAGAGGGGAGATGGGCAAGACCCCACAGCCTCTTTGTTGAACCATCAAACTGGCCAATGTTGGTCAGACCACACCCGGACATCTGGCCTCAGATGCAGACAAGTCCCCTCGGGCCAGCATATCCATGAGACCTGTCCCTTGAAGCTCTCCCACCCGCTGACACAGCCCATTTGAACCAGTTCCTTGCACCCCTCCACATTTGCAGTGGGCTGTGAGGACAAGGATGTCCCCAGGGTTTCTCAGCATGGTGTGACTCGCCCCACTGCCTGGACACTTTGACCATGGCTGAACTAGGGGCCAATACAGGTCAGATGTTCTCCTGCACCGATCCCGAGCATGGCAGCAGGAACAAAGGTGAGCTATTAAACTTGCACACATGATGGCTACTGAAATACTATGTTTTGCTGCCAAATCCTCCTTTGGCTCAGGCTCAGCCATGCTCACTTCATCTCCCTCTGGATATAGGGACTGATGCTCAACAAAGTCAAGCCACGTACACACACACACGTGCAAGACCCTGCCCCTACATCTCCCACTCCCACGTCGGGGTTTCCCAGACCTGAGCAGAGCATCCTGATGGGTCACGGGAGGTTTAAAGCTGCTTTTACACCACTGCTGCATCAGCCTGGGGAACGGCTTCCATTCACACACCCATTACCCAGCCAGGTCTCTGCATGCGTGGGATCACCGTACATCAATCCTGATTCACACTGGAGCTCCTCTACGCTACAGGACACCAAGGAATCCCCAGAGGCGAGTCCCTGCGGCAGGTAAAGCCTTGACCGGTGGCTAGGGAGGGGCTAATGCACCCGCGAGACCCCAAAGCATGGAAAGCCCCCTGCCTCAGTTTCCCTAGCAGGGACTTTCACTCCAGGTACCAAACTGGCTCTAACAAGGACGCTACCAAAACACCCCGCAGGTCTCACCCCACTTCTCTCTCGTTTCATCTCATCGCACAGGGGTTTCTCCCATGTCTGCGTCCCTGGGAGATCCACCAGCAGCTCTCCCCCGAGCAGGGCACATCTGAGCCGGGCTCCCGGCCCCGACAGCTTTTTCGGAGGTCATGCACCTGCCAAACAGTGCCGCACCGGGCATCCAGGGGTGCATTTATGCAAACCAGTTTGTGAGTTTTATGAGGAGCCATAAATAAAGTGTAAAAAGCACTACCTGGTATAGAAAGTCCAGGCACTCCTATGACAGCCCTGTATTTATGAAGGGCTTAAAATGTAACTTAGTTGAGAAGGGACTGATTAAAACACACAGGGCCCTTGACATGTGGCATCCTAACGACTCTGCTCACGTCCAGATCGCTTCCCATGCACTTGCCTCACTCAGTCCTGGGCTGGAAATTTCTTCTCGGGACTTTGGGAGCCTGGAAAACTCTGCAGCTCTGCAAATGCAGCCTCATGAAGTACTGTCAAGCTCCCCAGGGTGGAGAAGCCAAGCAAACTCCTGAACCCAGAGCATCACCACAGGCTCTGCAAGAAGCAGATAGTGCCCCATTTCCCTCCTCTCCTTCCCAGGGGGATGCTCTGTTGTCTAAAGCTGGGTGTGCAGCCCTTGCCTCTCCCTTACCGTGGCTACCAGCAGGATTTGCTTTCCATCCCCATCCTTCCCATCTTAGACCGTTCCTTCCCATCTTGGACCATTCTGTCCCTCGTCACACTGGATCCAAACTTGTAGGACAGACAGATCCCATGAACCCCCTTTTCTCCAGGGACCACATTAAAAAGAAATGAAATGGCAATTCCCAAGCTCCTGGGGAAAACCACTGCCCTGCGCTCTCCAGAGATGCTGGTGTTTAAATGCCTCCAGCCAAAACATCATTGTGTTCAACTATTGCCACTGAATTTCTCACAGCGGCCGGGCCACAGCACATCGGCCCAGTAACCTGTGCCTCTGATATTTTTTCAGCTGAGACTGTAAATCCCCTAAAATAGCCTGTTTCTGTGGGCAAATTCTTCTTTTCTGACTTGCCTTCAAGCCCGAGCATTTCTGCTTCTCACCTATTTTTAGCCATGACACTGTAGGTCTCTTGGCTGATGAGCCTGCTTGTAACTAATTTATTCCCATCTTCATTCTCCCTGAGTGCTCGGCCCTGAGAAAAATGTGAGGCAGCGAGCTGCAGAGGTGGATGGCAGAGAAAAGTCCACAATTTGATGAGGACCTTGTCACCCAGACCCCCCTGCCTTCGACCGTGGGGCACCTGGACCCCCAGCCAAGCCCCCCACACCATGGGATGTGCCCGGCAGCGGAGCTAAAGCGATGCGGAGCTGGGGGCAATCCCGGACCTCCCTGCTCCAATCCTGCCCCTGTCCCACAGTCCCCAGGTCTTTATCATCATTATAAATCACACAAACAGACCCCAGCGCTTCCTCCCAATGCAAAGCCATACCATCCCCATTCATCCTGATTTGTGCCCAATTTAGGGGCTCTGCTACCCTCAGCCTGAAGAGCAAACACCTCACCTAGCATCTGTTTCTCCTTCTGGAGATGTCTCCATCTTCCTCCTAACGTGGGCACCATGGTTAACGCAGCCCTGGCAGAGGCACTTCCCTCGTGCAAGAAACGGATGCCGTGGTCTGAGCAAAGCGGCTTTCGATGAGCCCCAGGGAAGGGAAAGCAGCCAAACTCACACAGATTTCGCTCTCCAAGGCTCTGCACAGCCCCATCCATCCACCTGCCTTTCCCGCCCCCAGCTCACCCCACCGCCGGGACAAGCAATCCAGCACTCACTTTTTGGGTCGGCGCTCCAGGAGGACAATTATTTGCCGGGTGCCTAATGCACTGCTGGCAGCGGGCAAGTCATAAATCACCCTAATGCAGCCACCGACAGACTCTGCCGGGATTTCGGGAGATTAAAGGAAAGAATAAATGTAGGGACACAACAAGTCCTGCTCTGGTTTGCTCAGCGTTCGGGTGGCTTTGCGATGTTGTAGGGGTGCCCAGCACCCGCTGGTGGGGTCCCAGTGCTTTGCCCAAGCCCAACTCACCTCCTGGCCCCGACTAACCCCTCCAGCACCCTCCAAGCTGCTAAACAGCCCTGGCCAAGTCCTTCAAGCTTTTTTGTACCAGTGCTGAACCTCCCTTCCCTTCCCCATCCCAAATCTTATCTGCCCTAGTCGGCCAGCTGGGAGCAGGAGCAAGGAGAAAAGAAGGGATGGACATGGAGACGGACAAAGGATGGACATGGAGGTGGACAAGGGATGGACATGGAGATGGACAAGGGATGGAGACGGGGATGGACATGGTGATGGACAAGGGATGGACATGGAGAGGGACAAGGGATGGAGATGGACAAGGGATGGAGACGGAGATGGACAAGGGATGGACATGGTGATGGACAAGGGATGGACGTGGAGATGGACAAAGGATGGACATGGAGAAAAGCCCCCAGCTTTGGTTTGGGGGAGGTCATTTCCCCAAATTTCCCAGTTCCCCATCCACCCTTGGAGGGGAGATGCACTCAGGTGGGGTGGGAACTGCGCAGGGGACAGGCTGTAATTCAACCTCCTGCCCTACGTGATTTCTAGCCCACGGGAGGAGAGTCCCACACTTTCAACACATCCCTGCCAGCCCACGGAACCCCACAGCCCCCTCGCCAGCACGCAGCAGCGTGCTCGGCGCTGTATGTCCCCACAAAGCAGCCGGGGACAGCAGCAGGTGGAGGGGGGACACAGCCACGTCCCCAACAGTGCAGGATGGGGGACCCAGCTTGCTGCATGGCCTGGGACATCCTGGCCATGGAGGGAGGACCAGCACCTGCCATGGCAAGGAGCCTCCCTGTGTTCCTCACCATGCCCACAAAGCCCCCACCCCGCAAATTCTTGGGGACCCTGGCAATGGGGAAACTGAGGCACGGAGGGACCCGGTGCAGGGGGGACTTACGAGCCCGGGCTCGGCTCTCGGAGGCAAAGAGGAGCAGCAGGCACCGGAGGAG